ACGGCATCCTGTTTAAAATTGATGATTCGGCGTCTTTTCTTTCTTTTGGAAAATTGGGACTTTTTGAACATGCCACGGGACACGGGACAAATTATTAAAAATTGTGACTGTCCCGTCAAAAGCGGGACGTCTGGTCACCTTAGGTGAGGGGTGCAAAGGTCTTATAACCTGACAGCTTTAAGACTTACATGCTTCAAATGTCAAAGCTTCTGAGCCAACATTTTGGTTGCTAAGCAATAGTGTTGTTAAGTGAGTTTCACCACATTTTGCAAGTTGGCCATGCCCACCCGGTCACATGACTGCCAAGCCACCAAGCTGCTTGATGATAATAGCTGCTGTTCATTAAATCTGTTCCTTGAGATAGATGACCCGTATCATAACTCTTCATAAAGGTGGCTGAATGTAGTTCTGTGAAGATAGGGCAAAACATATCTGTGAGGTGAAATAAGTCTTTGGAGTAGATTGCCAATAATTTGTATAGTTTAACAATTCATATCAAAATTAGTTTATAATTTATAATCAGAAAAAAGTATTTAACATATTGAAATTTTTCAGCCATTAAAATATAATATAATGGAATTAAGAAATTGAGAAATTAAAAATGTTGAGGTTGTATATTTAGAAAATTTGTGATGAGAAAAATGGGATTAAAAATTAGATCTGAATTAGCCCTAGTGTGAATGCATGTTAACATATGTAACAAATAATTTTGTTAATTAAAGTTTAGTGCTACTTTAAAACTACACCTGAGAAAAATGTTGATATGAAAATGTTGTACAACAAGGCTAGGCAGGTGAAAAATAGATGATTTTTAATGCATATCAGGAGAAAGATTAATAAATTAAAATACAAGAAATATCTTCCAGTAGTTAAACCTGGAAACAGATATTTTCTGTAAAACTCTATTGGTTCTTAGTAAGTATATTAATATCCAGGAGATTTAACTATGTCAGTGTCACTTCTTTAACTTACATAATATTTTTGTAATAAGATTGCATGCCATAATTCAGAAGCTAGACAGGAATATTTTTCATCATTTCTTGTTTTTCTTTATTTCAGCTCTATGTCTTGAGCCAAGGGCAATGCATTTACCGTGGGAAAGTATTAAATTTAGTCCCTTATTTGAGAGATTTGGGTTTAAATTGTCCAACATATCACAATCCAGCAGATTTTGGTGAGCAAAATGATGGAGGTTCTCACTTTCTTTCACAAGCTTTTGGGAATGATACTGAGTTTCTATGTGTGCCTTGTGTCTGTTTTTGTGTTTATACCTATGCATTGTAATTATATGGTATCTATTTATTGATATCTTATACCCTCTAGTGGTAGATAAAATTGGCAGAGCTAGTTCATTTAAAAAAAACTCTTTGAAATAAAACTAAGAGCAAGTAAAACACAACAGAGCTGTATTTGCTGATTTTTTTCCTTCTCTTTTATAATTAAAAATTCAGAAGCTCAAGACAGGCATTATTGGGGGGGTAATTTCATATTCATATTGGAAATAAGCATACATTCCAGAGGATGTGGCAGCCATAATCAATTTACATTAATTGATGGGTATACTTACTGAAAATAGAATTTCATTAGGAAGGTGAAATGTTCATGACACTTTTTTTCAAATACTTTGGAAGTGTTCTTTTTACATGGAGTAAAGAATAGCATACTGAAGTGTGCTTTAAAAAAAATTGTAATAACTTTGATTATTAAAGCTATCATTCTGCATAGACATTGAAATAGAATCTACATTTAAATTGGTTGATCAGCCATAATTTTTAAAATCATTTAAAACAATTTCAGAAATCCTGCAGTTTTTTAACTTTGTTTTCTCTCCATAGTTACCGCTTTTCACAAACTGTCCTATAATATGCCCATAACAAATGAATACATATTAGATTTCAGGATTATACTGGTAGCTGTCCCCCTAAACAATCATGTTAATTATATCATCCAAACAATCTACATTCGTTCAAAGTTTGTGACTGCTAGCATATATTTCTTTATTTATAGATGCAGAAAGTAGTGTCAAATTCCTTATCTGATTCACATATCTTTTGTAATTATTACTGTCTTTTTTCTTAATTTTCAATGGCTGCCATGTATCCAAAATATTGTTTCTAATTCCAAGATATTGTTTGTGCTTACGTAGCTGCCTTAGATGTTGAAATAGTACAGTTTTATCACATAAGCTGGAACTCAGTTTCCTATCTTTAAAACTCCAATGGATATTAGTCTTAATTAAAATTATGAATGTATGTCATAAAATTTATGGTTACGGCATTGTTTTCAAATGCATGTAAAAAATGCTTTTAAGTGGCAATAGCCATTTTGATGTAGGGGAGTTAGTCAGGGTATTATGATTTAGGTTTTAGGTTTTTATTTGACTTGTATGCCGCCCTATTCCCGAAAGACTCAGGGCGAAAGACTCAGGGCTTGCATTATGATGCAAGCCCTGAGCCTTTTCTGATGTCACCCATGTCACAGCTTCACAATGCAATCTGTCCCATGTATGGCCCAAACAGTTGAGGCTTGTGACACAGCTTTGTAATGTGTTATTCGCATGCTGATGAAAATGGCAAGTTCTGTAGATGCTGTTGCACTATGTATTGAAGGTTAGGCAAATTCCACAATTTTATGCATACCTGACAGCTAGGAATAATGCTTCATGTATCTTGCTTTTATTCTACTATGTAGTAGGATCAAATAGTTTTTTTCTACCTGTTTAGTGATGGAGGTCGCCTCTGGAGAATATGGAGATCAGAATAGCAGGCTTGTAAGAGCTGTGCAAGAGGGAATGTGTGATGCAGATTACAAGAGAAACTCTGGAGGAGAAAATGAACTTAACCCTTTTTTATGGCACAAACCATCAGAGGAGGTAATTCAAAGTAAAGGAGATCATGTCAGTCACAGTAGTTCTTTGAGTTTTTTAGTTTTAAGCGCTTCCTTCAGCTGGGTGTTGAGTGACATATAAGCTTAATAAATGTATTATTATTTTGATTCAGCACATAGCAAGGCAAATGTTTAGACTAGGTTTGGTATTTTTATCCACTTATTGAGTATTATCATTATTATTGAATTATTTCTAAACTGTAATAAAAAGTGGACCTGCCTCAGCAGTTAGTTCCACAATAAAACCCCATCATGCAGGGGTGCTTCTCAGGTAATTTTGTCCCAAAACGTTTTATATGCCTACGTGAGCACTTTGAACTGGGCTCAGAAAACAACCAGCAACCAGTAGAAATAAACTCCCCACATTATAATGCCAATTTCTGGCCCATCTGCAATTTAAGACTATCTTCAAAGATGATCTCACGATAAATTATTTGTAATAGTCCAATTTTGCAACAACTAGGATATGTGTTATTAATTTGAAGTCTTTATTCTCCAGATAGAATTGCACTTGATTTAGCAGTCAATATGGTAAAAAGAATCCCATGCCATAGATGTCATGTGGCTGTTCACCATGAAAGCTAGATCCAGGAGCACCCATAGACTGCCAACCTGTTCTTCAAGTGGGAATTCCAGTCCATCCAGAATAGGTTTATGTATGAAATTCAATCCCTGTAATTAGCAACACTGGGTTTAATTTCAGGCTTTTTCTGTCCATTCAAGTCTGGTAAAACACAAAGCAAGTGACAGATTAAGATTATAGTTGATATCAAGTCTGAAACAGACTAAGAAAGAACTTCTCATGCATGGATATCACTAGTTGTTAGTGGTAAAGGCTATGTTTAGTGTTCCTCTTTAGCGTTGTTGAAAGGAGCTATATCTAAAACTGCTTTAAATTCAAATCAAATGATTGAGTTTTGTTTAGAAAGTTAAAGAGTTGGCTAGATCTTAAATCTGATTCAACAAATCTTTTTCTATCTTAAAACTATAAATTTGAGTCAGACGTCTCATACATTATTTCAATTTAGGTTCCATTAAAATCAAGTCTGATATTATGCAATGTATTCTAATGGCCAGTGCTTCATTGAGCTAAATTATTTGACTGTGTGCTGAATCCAGGTCAAACATCACTGCTCCAGCCCAGAAGTGGGGCAGCTTTATTAGATTCAGTATGTTTATATTGGTTTTCTGCCTTCTGAGAAGTCAGCTGATACAAATGTAGGTCTAGGCCAGTCTGACCTGATTTTATGCCAGCATTGTGGATGTTTCTCTGATCTGGCTGCACTTGGTTATTTTCCTGGCTTATTTTGGCATATTTTGTTATTTCACAACATTGTCTATCTGCTAGAATATCTTAAAATCAGTGGATGATTTCAGCTGTCCCAAAAGTAACCCAGCCAGCATATTTTTAAAAATAGTTTGCCCTTTAATTGAAACCAACTGCAACAAACCAAATTTTAATTCAATATTATGCTTACTTTAATGCTAGACAGCAAATTTGTAGAATCAAAGTTGTGTTCATTGATGTTGGTGTTGAAACCCGAGAAACAATACCAACCTAAAATTCTTTTCCACTTGTGTTTTGCACCAGGATTCTTCATCTATGGAAGGCTGCCATAGCTTCTCAGCCAGCTGTCTTACTCAGTTTTGCATTCTGTTTAAAAGAACTTTTCTCACCATAATGAGGGATTCGGTAAGGCTCAGATTTTAAGTATAAGAAAGAAAAGTGCATTGTAAACTATCAGTTTTTATCTATGAAGACATATTACTGAAATTAAGTGTATAAAATAAAAGCTAGATGGGTTTGATTCTTTTAATGTTGCATAATTTTATCATTGCATTTCAAAAATCAGGAGATGTAAGGGAAATATAGATATAAAGCTTCATATGGATGTATAATGTGCTTTAAATAATACTAAACATCATATTAGTATTTAAGCCTCAGGTTTTTTTCTCCATCTGTTTTGATGTAGCATCTCTGTAGCTTCATCCATGCTCTTAGCAGAGATCTTCAGTTTTGCTCCCTTCTAGTGCATCCCTATCAACTTTAATGAGTACAAAATACTGGAAATGTGTGGAATTAAAATTATAAAGTGAACTGTAGCAAAAATGTTTGCCCATCCCTGTATTGTCTTCCCAAATATATTTTCTTCTTTTGTCTTCCCACCAGTCCCTCACTTTTGTCTCACATCTGATTGTTACCGCAAATTTATTCCCTTTTTTCACACTGAAAAATTTAGGAAGATACTTTAATTTTTCACTAATTTCATTTTTCTTCCTGACAGGTCCTAACGCATCTGCGGGTAACATCTCACATTGGAATAGGACTTCTGATAGGCTTGCTGTATTTGGGGATTGGAAATGAAGCAAAGAAAGTTCTGAGCAATTCTGGCTTTCTTTTTTTTTCCATGTTGTTTCTTATGTTTGCTGCTCTCATGCCAACAGTCCTTACATGTAAGTAACCAGTATCGCACAGCCAACTAGGCTTCTTTAACCAGTTGCTTCCCAAATATCCTAAACTTCAATTCCCGCAAATCCTAGTCTTTGGTTTCATTGACAGGGAAACACAAGAGAAGCTCTAACTCTTCATATGGCACCAGTGGTGGAAGGTTACCAATATGCTAATAGTTTGATAAAAGACATCTATTAGATGGTTTCAATAATACTAGCAAAACTCCATGTAGTTGTTTTATGCATATATGCATACACACACAAGGAGTGAGCAGCACTTTGGGTTCATAGAAAAAAGGCAGTACAGAGCTTACAGCGGTGCATACATTATCATCATCATTGCCATCATTTTCTGCCTTATATATGCCTCAAAGCAGTGAAGATGCATAATACTCCTGCCGTCTATTTTCCCCACAACAATAACCCTGTGAGAGGTGAGTTGGTCTGAGAAAGAATGACTGGCCCAATGTCTCCCAGTCGACTTTCTTGAATTAAGGTCAGCACTTGTCTGCATTTGCCCAAGCCAATGTATCTTTTCCATGGAGTATGGGGCAGGTGATCCCAGGAGATGGCATATAGTTCATCCATACATCCACTTTCCTCCAATCTATAATTTGGCAGGAAAGAATGTGTATAAACCACAGTACTTCCAGGGCTGAGTTTTACAGGTTTTCAGCAGTGAGGCTGGGCAGTGTTTGCAGTCTTTGCAACATGGTGTAAGTTTGGGGAAGTGACTGGTACCTGAAACATGCATTTTCTATCCATTAAATAAATGGGAGGAAATACTTTGAGATTTTGTGATGATTGTAATATCATTAATATAGAAATTAAATCTGTAGAGATTCTCAGTCATCCAGGTTGTTCAAAATGTGCTTTTTTCCAGGAGGCAACTGGGCTTTCTTGTTTCTTCCTTTGAGAGAAACGTCTTCAAAAGAAAAAACAAGAAGGAAAGTCCAGTTGCCTCTTGAAAAAAGCACCTTTGGGACAAGAATTGAGCAAGTAAACAGCTCTGTTTAATTCCTCTTTCCAATAACATAAAGTCTAGCAATAACTCTTGTGGGCCTATTCTTATTCTATCTGTAATCCAATCATTAGTTTAAGAAGGTGCTTATTGATATCTGCTCTATCTAGTTTCTCCCATAATTAATACCTGTCAATGGAATCAAAGGCAGAGGAATCAGTAAAAGCAACATAGAGTTGTTTTGTATGCCCACAGGTATATTTCTGAACAATCACCTTCAAAGTGATACAGTAATCTAGCATGCTATGTCCTTTTGAAACCCTTCTTCCCAAACATTTACCGTAATTTATTCAGAAGATGCTTGGTATACAGCTTAGAAGAAATATCTAGCAGACTAAATGGACGATAATTGGCAAGTTCCTGCCAGTTGCTCTTCTTAAGGATTAGGTGTATTATAATTTGTTTCCAATGGGGAGGTATAACATACAGTATCTTTTACCTATTTCTGGAAAGAATCTAGTCAGGATTGGTTCCCACCAGGAGTCATTGATCTTATATATATCTGGAGGAATCATATGCTCTTCAGGAGTTATTCCAAGAGCCAAGTTTGAAACCAGCTGTTTACACAGATTTTGTGGTTAGTTATGATTAATTGGTTAAGTTAAATGTGGTTAGTTATGCTAAATATGCTTTGAAAAAGAGTTTATTATGGGTTCAGTATATGGCAGTTAAAAAACCTGGAAAATTTAAAAAAAAATCTCCAAAAACTTAATTTTCCTGCCTAATATATTAGGGAAAGAATTTCCTGAAATATCTAAAACAGCGCATTACACTTTTGAAAAAACAAATTGTGAAGATCTGCATTTTTCAGAATTGCATATTCATATAAATTAAACCAATTCTTGGCTTTTTTATAAAATATATTAATGAATAAGCATATTCAAATCATACATTTTCAAATGAAGGAGAGGCTGAGTATGACAAGACAAAATATAAGAAACTCAGGACAGCATCTAAGTAGCTTTTTCTCCTACCTGCTGTGGAATGGGAAACTATTATTTATGACATTAATTTTTAGAATTGCTTTTGATTTTATGTATTTCAAGTGCTATTTTTATTTTTCTATATAGTTCCTCTTGAGATGGGCGTATTTCTTAGAGAACATCTGAATTATTGGTACAGTTTGAAGGCTTATTACTTGGCTAAAACTATGGCTGATGTCCCTTTTCAGGTAAATCTCTCTCTGCACCTCATTATTATTTTAGGACAGGAAGATAGATAACAGTAGTAATCAAATGAAATTTTCTTATGCAGTTTGCAAAATGCAATATGTCATTTTATCAGGAATATGAATTAATATTGCTACAAATCCTTTCATAATACATAAGTATATGTTATATGTTATACAAGCAGTTGTAAATGTTTTATTTTTATTATACATTGGAAAATGGGATGCCCAAATTGCATTTTAGAATTATACCAAGAAATGAAATTTAAGTCACAGATGGATGGTCTCATCCAGTGCCAAATTTTGAGGGAAAATATAAACCAGCTATATTTCAGTTGCAATTAGGTTAAATCTGTAAACTGCCCAGAGTTGCTATCATAGAAATGAGCTATATATAAATTAAATAAATTAAATAATAAATAAATAAAACTTTAGGCTTGTGCTGAGCATTTAAAATAATATGTTTCATTCTTAGTGCCTAGGCAAAGAAAACACCCTCTTCAAATTATTAAAGTAGCTGAATTTTTTCACAAGGCTGGTGTCTGCTGCTGAAGTTGCTCCAGTGATCCCCATCTACTTGTATATGCCAACCATTTCATAAAATACTCTACTCTGGAAAAATCCTGATAGGACATGACTCATCTGATAAGTAGGAAAACTATTAGAGTATCTGACTTCTCATGTGAATTGATAGATACAGGAACTAAAATATCATTCAGCTCATAAAGACAAAGACCCAGTCTGGAGGATCCAATGTCATGACGAGACGACGTGCGATCTCAATGCTCTGAGATCGCTGTCGATACTTTTGCCGCTGGGTTGTCCAAAAGAGACCTAAACCATCCCCCAGAAACGGTGAACAGGAAGAATGTGTCTTGCTGATCTCAGGGACATCACAAAGTCCCTGATCGATGCAAGAGAAGTTCTTCAAGCCAGCGACAAAAAATCCAGCTATTAGGTTGATGAAGTCGGGGCGGCTCCAAAACGGAAGGATATGGAAAGAGAAAGTGTTTCCAGCTGGTGAGGAATTTTTACAATTTTAAAAAGACACTGCCTATAAAAAACTTAAAATTAATTTAAACTGGGGAACAGAAAAAATATGTGGCGGAATTAAATTTGGAATGGTTTTGGACAGTGGGTTATCTTACTTTTTAAATGCTATCTTTATGGATGGAATTTATGCAAGCCTTTTAAAACAAATGGATTAAGTTTTCTTCTATTTTTTTTTCTTTCATTATTCTTTGTAACCTATGGACTAAAATTCTCTCTTTCATTACTGTGAGTGCTCTTCTAACTCATTCAAGAATCGGACTTTTTTTAAAACTTGAAATACAAAAAAGATACAAAA